TTTAATTTAATTAGTAATTAATTTAATTAGTTATTATTTTTTTATTTAAATTATTTTTGTTACTATTTTTTGTTAATTAATTAGATTTAATTATATTAAATGGAGTCAACAATGAAAACCAACTATAAGTCTATTATTAATATATATATATTTTTTTTTTGAATTAATTTTTTTGATTTATTTTTTTTGATTTAATTTTTTTGCTGTTGAAAATTATTGATATATCTCTCATATATAAAAAAAAATTATAATTATTTTTTTTTTAGTTAATATTATACTACATATTATTGAGTTATACATACATGTAGTTATTGTTGAATAATATTATGAACAATATAATTATTTTATTGTTATTTATTGTTGTTGTTTTATTTATTTATAATATTTATTTATGAAAATGTTGTTATTTTTTTTAAACATAATTTTTTTTATAATTTAATAGTACAAATATTTACATTATATATATTTATATCAAATACTAAATTATAATATAAAGTTTAATTTATTTATAACAGAGTGGGAAAAAAATTATTTTTGCAATTTTAGTAATAATTACTTAATTATTATTATTAAAATTATGTTAAAAATTAACAATAGTTTATAAAAAATTAAATAAAAATACAATACATATTTAATTCATGTATTAGATGATTGATGTAATTTAAGTAAATAAACATTATTATTATTATTATAAAATTATATTATTACCAAGATAATGTGCACATATCAAATAATAATAATAATAATAATTGTTAATTAAATGTTAAATGGACCCAAAAAATATTTATATTAGTAATTTATTTTAAAAATGTGCTAGATAATTATTAGAAAACTTATTGATATTTACAGTATTATTATTATTATAAATATTTAGTTTATAATTTATTTATTAATAAAATATATAATTTAAATTAATAGTATTTATTAAAAAAAAAACATACAAAACTTATATTTAAATTTTAATTAATTTTTATTAATTTTTATTATTATTATTACTATTATCAAATTAGTAAAATTTAGTATTATTGGATATTTTTAAAAATAATAATTGTTGTAATTGTATGTTATTTAACTGTAAAATTTAAAATAAAAATAAAGTTATAAAACAATTATTTTTAAATTACTTTTTATTTACTGAAATACAGTATATATATATATAAATTAAATCAACAATTTTTTTTATTAGGCAATAGATATTTAAATATTCTGAATAGTGAAACAAATATAATATAATTTAAATAAAAAATAAATAAAAAATTTTATTTAAAAAATTAATTGACTATAAAAAAAGTATGTTTTTTAAAAATCTTATAAAAATTTGATACTTAATATATAAACTAATAATTGTAATTTAATATGATATGATATACAATATATATATATAAAAAATAGTTTATTATATCTGTATAAATAACAATAATAATATTGATAATAATAATTATCAATATTATATTAATGTATATTTTTTGTCAGCAAAAAAAACGGGAGATATTTTTGTAGTTAAAAAAATTTAGTTAATTAATACTATAATAATAATAATAATGAAATTAATTTTCAATTTACATCAAAGTTATTGTTTGATAAATAATATGATATTATTATTAATTACGACAACAATAACTGAAACTCGGATTACATCCAAAAAATCGGATGATTTTAGACCAGAATTTTGCGGCCAATCCTATGTCGATGCTGTCCTATGGGACGGCCAGTCGTATAGAGTTACTAGAGATCAATGGATTGCCAATTATGACGTCCAGAGGAACTGTATGTCCGACTTTGTACATAAAGATAGCGTTGATTTTAGTGAAGGTTTATTTTTTTATTTTATTATTTTTATTTTTTCGATAATTATATTTATTTTATAGAAATAATATTTTATTTATATTTTTTTGTGATTATAAATTTAAAAAATTAATAATAATTTTTGTTTAACAATTCAAACAACTATTTTTTACTCTCTCTCTCTCTCTCTCTCTCTCTCTCTCTCTCTCTCTATATATATATATATATATATATATATATATATATATATATATATATGTTTGCAATAAATTAAAGCCTTAAATATTAAAGTGATTTTTGTTTTGTTGGTATTTATTAATCAATTCATATTAAACTCTCTCTATCTCTCTCTMTCTCTCTCTCTCTCTCTCTCTCTCTCTCTCTCTCTCTCTCTCTCTCTCTCTCTCTCTCTCTCTCTCTGTAAATGTCAATATGTTTGTAATGTTTGTAATGTTTATTTAAAATGATTTTTTTTTTAATAATTTCCAGACTAATAGTTTTTAATAATATATATTTTATTTAAAAAATAATTTTTTTATTGTTTATAAATAATAACAAAAAAACAAAATATAAAATTATAATAAAAATTTTTAGACAATTTTTTCTATAATAATAATAATAATTGGTTACTATTGTAGACATTGGCTATTATTATCAATCAGGTTATTACATACCAACGGTTCCCGACTGTGACCCGACATTATCGCCGCCGCCGCCGACTACTAGCTGTCAGCTAATGCAACAAATGTCTGGTCTGACAGTCTATACCATACGTAACACCCGTACCTCAGAGATGGTCTATCGCATTGAACGGATGGTCAGTCCCGGACAACAGTCGCTAACCGATAGTCTATTCGGCAATAATTTGTTTATCGAAACAACTGTAATGACGGCACCGTTTGCCTATAGATATCGTCCGTCAGTCTACTGGCCCCGGGAGTACATGTTTGTCAATATTTACAATCGATTTGAGGGTCGGGAGCCGTATTTTGAACTAATCAGACTGACCACGAGTGGACTATTGGTCAGATACTATCAGGATCTTAGGGTCGGTGATATTGAGGAGGACAAGGATATGATATTTATAACAGCATTTTGGTGGACACTATCAGCTAAATGCTATGTAGTAGCCGAACATCCGTACGGGTTAGGCCTGGCCTACATGTATGAGCTAACCTACGATACTAATAACAACAACCGCACAATTGGTTTGCGGCCAATGGTTTGATTGAATAGTATTTACAAAAAATATATAATTAATTAATTATAATATATATATATATGTGTGTAGAATCAGACAGTACTGGAGTTTTTTGGATGTCCACCACATCCACTGGCACCTGTAGCTAACAATACTACCAGTCCATCATCATTATCATTATTACCAGAGTTGTCAATAGCTAACTTATCCGATGATAATGATGATGGTAGTGATGGTGTGTCCAATAATAATAATAATGAAAATAATAGGACAACTGTTAGCCACCGACGCCCCGACCAACCGGTGTACCACTGGATGGACATCAATGATACCGATGATGATACCGATGACGATCATCGGGATAACAGTCAACTAGAGGACAGTGATGTCGGTGTAGGTGTAGGTTCACTGATCAACTACTATCATATATTACCGATAGTCATATTTGTCGTATTACTTGTCTATGCATTTCTGGCCATTGTTTTGGGCAGCGGTTGTTCATCGATGTTGTGGTTGTTTAGTTAGTTTTATCAAATTATAATTAATTTTAATAATAATAATAATAATAATTATATCTAATTTTTTGTTGTTGTATAATTAGACCAACAAAATATTGATAGTAGACGACAACTAGTAGTTAATAGGACAGACAGTTTACAACACCAACAACAACAACAACAACCATTGATGACAGCATCGACATCAATGGTAACACCATTAACAGCTAGTAAGGGACGGGTAGCTAAAAAGTTACGATTCAATGATGATATGGATGTAAACTTTTTTATTGAAGAGTACGAGGAGGAGGACGGGGAGGCAGAGTCCAGGTCTATGGTATACATGAGCCGCGATACTACTACTACTACTACTACCGGTACTACAGATACTACTACTACTACTACTGCATGCAAATCAATGATAACATATTATTATTAGTTTTACAACAACTATAACAACATTTAGTTATTATTGATTTATTTATTTTTTTTAATTAAACAATTAGTTGTTTAACTAAAATATTAGTAATTGCTATAAATTTTTTTTTTAGAAAAATTAATGATTTTGTAATATTATATAAAATTTTATTTTTAATTTAATAATATTTTTTAATCAATAAACTATTATATTTAAATAAAAGCAATTTTTGTAACTTTTATATATATATATATATATATTTAATTATATATATATATATATTTAATTATATATATATATATATTTAATTATATATATATATATATTTAATTATATATATATATATATTAMTAATACCAATAATAATAATATAAATAAATCAGTGATTCATTGATAATTTATGGGAACTGTATTTTATCTCAAAATTTTATTTTTAATATTAATTAAATCATATAAAAAATGTTTTTATCTCAAAATTTACATATTGTTAAATAAACATCATTTAGATGATTAAAAATATTTTTATGTAAATTAATTATTTTCAAAAAAATCATGTATACATATTAGTTATTTTATGTTAATTATAAATTATATTTAATTAGTATAATTTAATAATAAAATTTAAATAGATAATTTTTAATCTAATAATTTTTTTTAAAAAAATAATTATTAATTATTTAATTATAACTATAATTTATGTTTTTAGTACATTAATAACAAACTAATTATTATATAACAATTTAAATTAATTAGTAGCTTGGTACTATCCGAAAATAATAATAATAATAATAACTGTTAATTAAATATTAATCATGTTAAACCAAGTAAATTAAATAAATAATTTTATTAATCATAATATTTTTTTTTTAAATAATAATAATATTATTATATTTATATAAGATTAATAAATTATTTATTAGAAATTAATTTATATTATTTTTGATAAAAATTTAGTTTTAAATTATTATTAACATAAATATTAATTAAAAACAAAATCTAATAAACAACAAAAAAAAGTTTGCAATAATTATAATTATAATACTAATAATGTTTAACAATAATAATAATATGAATTTATTAGTTATTATAATTCAATTAT